CCGAGCGAGCATTGATACGCTAATCTATTCCTTAGCAACTTATAACATCGTGTAGATTAATTTGCATACTGCTGTCACTGGCCCCAGATAAATGATCGCAGCTAAGCATATGCCTGCAAATCACTTAATTGGAATTTTATTAGAAATTTCTAGTAATGATATCATATTAAACGGTTCAGCAGAAATTCATGTAGATTTAGCATGTGAGAGGGTGACCGGGTGTTCGGAGAAGTCATCTATTAAATTATGCGATCAATGGATTTAGGGAGATAAACTCACAGACTAATAGCGCAAACAGCTGGAGACGGCCATTTACACATCTTTCTAAAAAAAGTTAACATTTCGATAATTTCTATCCTGAACACAAAATAGTCTTTACATCATTTAAGTCAAAAACACCGGGGGTTTACAGATGTTTTTTTTTTTTATTTTTCCACTAATTTCTTGCTTGAAAAATTATGAAATCTAAAAAGAACAAAGAGATATGATCTGTAAGAATGAAATCATTAATTGTTCTTAGAGATTTCTGCATCATCAGCATTACTATGGCTTGTACCCAATCTCCTAAATACGCATCTACATAACAATCATAGCATCATCAACAAGCCATGAACAACGGTAAATCAAGTTCCACAATCATCATATTTTAAAACTCAATTAAGCACAAGAGAGTGGAGTTAGCAAGGAATAAAGTATACAGGCATAGGGTTGGTATTTTTAATTGAAGAGTAATGTCATAAAATGAGATAGTTTATTCAAATTTTAGAGAGAGAAACTGAGCAAATAAGAAACCAGAGAGCAGGGTCATTTAGCACGGTTATGATGCATCAGTAATAAAAGCGTCCCATTTAATGGCGCTATCACTTTCAATTTCCACAATTTCATATTTATGTTTACCATTTGACGATCGACAGAGTATGAATATCACAACTCTTGGATTTAATTCCCATTGAGGTTTTACCGTGTGTATGTCTGATGGAAATTAAAATCAAGATCGCGTTACAAAACATGACTTCTCAATAGTGAATCCTTAAATTAAAACTACAGTTTAAGTCGTATATTCGATAAGGAGTGAATAATTCTATGTGCGATGGTCATTTTATCGCAATTTCAATGTGTTTAACAAGTTCGTAAGTTTGTCAGCTGCTCTCAATTTTACACATGGGTTACTGGGGCTTAATAAAACAATCATAAAATAACACCTCATTTGGCCTTCATCTGTATGCAAGCACCTGACTGTTCACAAACAAGTGCAAATTTGGTACAGACTATTATACATCATCTATGAAAACAATGACATAGTCGGCATCAATGATCTCCCCAGCATTAAAGCAAGTAGGTGCAGCACCCACCTGAGGTTTTGAAAACAGGCTTGCACCCACCTGAAAATCCATTTGCACCCACTTGAAAATGAGAAAAATCATGAAAAATTGACATTGAAATTGAATACTGTGAAAGTGAGAATTTTGCGCACACTTGAGGAAACACTGGGCATATTTGAAAATGTGGATTTGATGAATAAAGTTAACTTAGCATAGAGCAATACAGCCAAACACAAGACAAGCAAAACAGAGAAAATACTTCCAACAAACAATATGCATGCATATAAAACCAAAAAGCCCATCAGTTAATAAGAAACACATAATTATGCTCATACTCTAATTTATCTAAAACACAACATTCATTGTTAAAATGTATGCAGAGTTTCATTTTAAATCTGTAAAGTAGTATTCTATGTTTTAGTCCGTGTGATGCAAGTCAAGGAAAATGACATAAACTTTATGATGATTCTAATCTAACCCTAATCCTTGGACTAAGCCCTGTTAATTAAATATTTGATAGCTTGTATATTAACAGCATTTTCTGGACTGGTTCAAAATTTAACCGCATTTAACTTTTTTTTAAGTAATTTATCAAATGTGACAATCAGAGCTGACAAATTGTAATAAAATGAACTGGTGGAGAAAATTTGACATTTTTCTTGTCATTTAAGGAGGACTAAGCTGTCATGGCTCAATTTTGTCACTATTTCAAGAACAAACTACTTTAAAATTGAGACAAAAAATCAATTAAAACATCATCGGAAAGTATTTATGATTAAATCAATTAGAGGTATGGGACTATGTTGGGGTATGTACTATATGCATAAGAAATGACCTCCAAATAAAAATGGATTTTCTGATAAATGGTATTCTAGTTTGTAACAAATAGATAGATATGTAGACGTGTGATGGTTTGACAACAAGCATACACAAGTGACGCTGATTGTGCGGATCACCTGCTAGTGACCCCTGGTGGAGGTGTTATCTGCCATTATCTGCAGACGACAATATTTATCTTAAAGGGAGAGTATCTCCATGCAGCTTTAAAGTGTGTCTTAGATAGTAGTGCTTGTTCAACAGTGTTCCATTGATAGCAAGATAGTTACCGAGTGCTCAATAAAGAAACAAGCGTGGAGCAAGAATCTAGACGTAACTGCGGCCCGTTTCAACTCCCCTTTTACATAATTCACCATTCACTTTCAAATATTCCAAATTTTAGTGAAATATCTCTATTATGTAATTATTAGAATGGATAATTCAGATGATTTTTTATCACAAATAAATCCATATTTTTAACTTTTGTTTTTGTGATTTCTCTTGGTTTATTTCACATACATTAGTCCAAAGATATGTGTAATCTATAGAATGCTTAACCTACAATTGGAATCATATTCAGATAATTCTCTGTTGATTAAGGAGAAACAGGGAATAAAGTGTAAGAACTTTTATTCCAGGTTTACATTGGAAATTGATAACAGAAAATGACAGCTTATTTATAACATATAAAATGATGCACACTGAAAAATATAGAATATACTTGCTTAAGCATTCTTTAGATGGGTATGATAATATATATTATCCATTAGTTAGCCACACTTGTCTCAAGTACCATATCTTGGTGACATCGGTAAGACAAAAAAAATTCATTAATTTCAAAACACATTTAAAGTACATGTAATTGATAATAATATGTTTATTTAAAGCGATATCCTATTTAAAAAAAAAGTTATTTTCTAGAACATAAAAAATTAATATACTATGTAAGACAATATTGTGTCACAAATCAAGAAAAAAATTAACCGCAAAAGTTTTAGTTATAAGCAAAAGTTGAAGTGGTAACTATGGAAAGGTTGAGATAATGAGCACAGAAGTATTAATTATTAAATGAAATACAACTGCATGGAAATATTGCTACTTATCAGTATTCAGATCTGTTATTAGTGGTTTGACCAAGTATCATATCTAATGATGTATCAGGAAGAAATATTCTGCTCTTGCATATAATCTAACATCCGGCTGTCAAATGGACAACATTTTACAAATTACCGACAATTCTAAACATAAATATGTATAAACTTCTGCCTAATAATGTATCGAGCCATATATGACGAAATCCTTAAATTAAGAGATGTTTTGATTTAAATTGCTAAGGAGTTTGTGTGCAGAGGCGATCTATAAGAATATGCTTTTAGAAGATGGCAACGGTCCAGTGAATCTGCAGGTACTCTGCTTGGACTAAATGAGGCGTTAACTGCAAGTCCATTAAAATCTTACAAATGCAAATATTCGCTTTTTCCAAGTGTTTGAACATTTAAAGACAGAAGACAAACAATGAATATTTCATTGTAAAAGAGTATGACAGTCGCATTATCAACCAGCGGAAATTATGAGTGTATATAACTCCAGCAAGATATAAAAAAATCTGTATTTTGCATTTTATCTTTCTACTGTTTTATTATGCCGTGAATAAGGGTGGTCATTTGAGATACATATACTAAAAAATAATAAATGACACTAATCAATGTCACAACCATATGGTATTTTGATCAACATCTACTATACTATAGAAATCATATACATGTATACTCAAGCAAGAAATAAAAAAATCAATGTCACCAGCATATGGTATTTTGATTAACAACTTCCCGTACGACAGAAATTATACAATATACACTCGATAAAGGTGTCACATATACTAGTATATATAAAGAAAAATAAAACTGACTTTATTTTTTATAAACATACAAAATACATCAGCTCTCCATGTGAGGTCACTAACATGTGGTGCATGTGGTGATTCTCAGTGGCTCAGTTGAGGCCTCTGTTTATGTAGACAACTATGTATGGTGTCTCCCAAAGGCACATAGCTCCTGGAGCTGAGATCCCAGTAGATAAACATTTTGCGTCATTATTTAATTGGAAAAAAATCAACTCTAGGAGTATAAAGGCCCCTATGTAATACAATTTGCGTGCAGTTTGTCAAATGATGACTTGAATAATTTGATTGTAATATGCATTGTATATAGTGATGGCATGCATTGTGAAATGATATCATGCATTGTGAATCTATACCATGCATTGTGAAATTATACCTTGCATTGTGAAATGATATCATGCATTGTGAATCTATACCATGCATTGTGAAATTATACCTTGCATTGTGAAATGATATCATGCATTGTGAAATGATATCATGCATTGTGAAATGATATCATGCATTGTGAAATGATATCATGCATTGTGAAATGATATCATGCATTGTGAAATGATATCATGCATTGTGAAATTATACCATTCTAGTACAATGATGCCATGCATTGCATTTTAGTGATTTGTGTGTAGTTCTGCATATTTGAATATCAACATTTCATCATTTTCTAATATATTGTTAAATGGATCATTTCACCCCGCCATAACTTAAGATCTTTTTAATGAGAGAATAAGGAATTTTTTTATGTCTTTGATCAAAACTAGTTTAATGCAAGTAATTATAATCATCCATAGCTTTGAATTTGTTAAACTGAATATAAGTTAATCATTATACTAGAATGATATAAGTAAATAATATATATAAGTACTCTTTGACCTTATATAAACATGTTTCACATTTTTGCCTCCTATCGAAATATTTTGACCAATAGGAGAATCTTATCTAATTTTCAAATTTTTTGCTTTCAGATATTATGGGACAAAGTGCAATGGATGTCTTCAAACGATCTCATCGAATGAACTGGTGATGCGGGCGCTAGGCAACGTCTATCACCTAAGATGCTTCATGTGTGTCATCTGTGGACACCAATTACAAAAAGGCGAACAATTCGTCATTAAAGACTCTCAGTTATTTTGCCGAATAGACTTTGAAAAAGAGTTCGCTTTAATGCCATTAAGCCCAAAGAGTGATTGGCACCATGATAGTCTAAGCCCTGGAAGTAAGGATTAGTTCACTAAATTTCTTATAATTTATATTTTCCCCTTATAATAGTTCATGTAAAACTTCTTCCTCATCTCTATATTAAAAACTAAAAATCATATAAACTTGTGTTAAGGCTTACAAAGTTCTATAGTTCATTTACATTTATTTTTGTTCTGCTCTGAATATAACGTCATAAGAGGAAGTCAGTTTTAAAATGAACTTTTGAAAGATGTCTTGTTCAATTAAATTCTCATAGTTATCAAAGATCATACTAAAACTTCTGCATGGATTTGATATCGTCATCGATTTAAAGTACTAGTTTACTGAGTGTAAATCAAATGAAGTGTTTCATTTCATTGGACAAAAAATATCAAAAACCAAAAGACATTCTGTGAAAAGAAAATCATGACGTTACATTAGAACTGGGGATAAATAAAACAACCTTTTCACTCATTCGTTCTAAAAGCACAATTTTGATGTTTTATTCGGCATGTTTGGTTGTTTATAATTTATATTTTCATTTAATAAAACTGCACAACTATTTTTACTAAATTATGATCCGATATTTTCTCGTTAACCACATTGTAACATTCTATAGTAGTTTGAACTTTTGAGTAATGTAATATGTTTTTCGGGGTATTATTATCTAAAATCTTCAGAGCTTATTGAAATTCAGAGCTCTAACATTATTTTTTTTATTCATTCTTTCTCTTTTACTATTGTTACATTACAAGTATATACAAATAATCGGCACCTTAACTTTGATCTGATTGGTTCGCACATTCAATTACACTTTATGATAACATTGCATTTTTGCACAATTAGTTAGCACTCAAATCAATTTTCTTTTCAAATATTTACATTTATAGAGCTAACCTGATAATACTTTTTAAAGTGTGCAACTTATTGGTGTGAAATAACGTTTGATATCAAATCTGTATTAGGTGACTGGAACAGCAGTTACGAGGAAAATGATAGTGATACAGCCAAGGGGCCCAAGAGACCCCATACAATACTCACAACTGCTCAAAGAAGGAAATTTAAACAATCTTTTGAGATCACCCCTAAGCCTTCAAGAAAGGTAAGACAACGCCCTCTTTTTGCCATCGAGGGTACTTTACAATGCGGGCCACCATTGAACCCCCCATTCTAGGGTGCCCTCGTTGTTTATTTTTATTCATGCTCACAATCGAATGAATGTTGCACCTGTTTTGTAGGTGATTGTGAAAGTAGTTTAGGAGATATTGATTCTGAAGATGGCAAGGGGCCTAAAAGACCCCGCACAATCCTTACTACCAGCCAAAGGCGGAAATTTAAAGCTTCATTCGAAATCAATGCAAAACCTTGTAGAAAGGTAGGTTTGCTACTAGTTGTCGCTCTATGTCTAAAATTTCTGGAATCAGGGAAATGAATGATGCTTTAAAATGGTTCACGCACTTGGCTTGGTTTTAAAGGGTCTTGTGTCTCGTACATGTTTGACCACATGGTCTTCAGTAAATTCAAGACACAGGATCCTTTAATGTGATTAAATAATTATAGGTAGGGTTGATTGGGGTCTAATCTCTCTTGCATTCCATTGAATAGCTCTGCTACTAGAATCGCAACACAGAGCAAATCTCAAGGTCTGCAAAGGAGAATTAGTTAGGAATGAGGTCTATAACAGAGCATGTCCTGGAAATTATGTAATCCTCTCAATTTTGATACTTAATATTAATAATATTTTGATATCATAAAGTGATCTATGGCCAGCTTTTGCCAAATCACTTCCTCTGCATATATGAGAAATATATGGTTCTGGTGATATGCTCTGTATGGGCAATATAAATAAGATATAGTTAAGAAAGCAAGGTAGAAAATGTGCAGCATATAGATGGTATAATTGTCAATCACATGTCAAATATTTTGTCTTAACATAACATAAATATGTATCGCATTGATGATTCGAAAAAGTTGCACATTTTGAACCTAATTGCTTTTTGTATACATGAATGTGTATTTAAAGAAATAGTTAAGTTACCTATTTATCCATTCAATCCAAGGGAGAAGATGATAATATCTCATTTGATGAATGAAAATCAAAAAGATATGAATCAAGGATTACCGATCATCCCATATCATGAGATAAATCTGATATTTTTGAAATGCAGGTGTCTACAAAATGATCGAATTATCATTTAACATTTGCATTACAAAACTGTACCAAATTATGAAAATTATGATAATAATTTGGATGGATAAATTAAATATCTCAAACTCAATGATATTTCTAGGTTATTTCATGACAGGGATTGAATATGGTCCAAAATGGATATTCCCTGGGGCAAAAGAGCCTAGCTGAATATCGCATTTAATTACTGCTTCTTAATCATTGAGTTAACCCAGAATGAAACTACCTAATAATTCCAAATTACATTTTCAGATTTATTTCTACAATGAATGATTGGATAAAAAATGATAGCGTAAAATATGTGTTCCTTCATAAATGAATGGTGGCAGTGTTTATGAACACATCTTTGAAATAAACACCTCTTTGAAATAAACACCTGAGTATGAGTATTTTAGATTTCTCTTTGATCCATATTGCTTTTAGCCAGCCGCCACTGTGTTCATTTTAGAGAGGTTATTTCAGTTCAGTGAGAGTTTGAACTTATTAGCAGTTATTAGCAGTATGATTAATTAATTAGCATGAGATCATGAAAATTTGCCACAAAATTAGTTCAGAGAAATAATGTTCAATTAAACACTGGTATTTTAGAATAGTTGTGCCTGGCTGAAGCTTGTATACTGTACTGTACTTGTAAAATGACAGCTACTTGAGATGAATGTACAATTTATAAAAATGTTTATAGTTTGTGATTTGCACAGATATCAATAAATATGGAGGCATCTTTATATTGGTACATTTGAGTAAATTTTCCATTAGTTATTGAACTCAAAAATTGTGTAATACCATCATGACAGCCTCTATATTTATGTAGAATTGGAAAATATTGAATAGGGGTGAATAATAGTGTTTGTTATCCACTGCCAACTGACCTCAGTTTAAATATTTTCTAGTTGTTATTATTTTTTCATCAGTCTATTAAATATTTAATTTGTATTATATTCCTGTAATGTTGATGTGGAAATATCAGTTAAACCCGTGGCTCGGAGTTAGAGGGGTTGTGGGTTTCATCCCCACTGGGAGGGACTGACTTTTTCACATCCATCATAAACACATAATTTAATTCTGTAGTTTCATTAACTTAAAAGATGGACATTTTTATTGTATATTGGAAACTTGCAAAGTATTACCCAGATTCAATGCTCATACATATGTAAAATTGTATAACATAGGATATTTATACATTTACTGTTTTCTATATTAAGTAATATTATATTGCCAAATGTATCATTCTATGTTGGTAACCACTATTGACCGTATAGCATACATTATAAGTGTAACAGGGATTTGCCAAAAAAGAATGAAATATTTGTTTTATTTTTCACTCTCCACTCTCTGAAATTCTCCAATAAGAAAACAAGGTATTTATTAAGATAATTTCACCAAGATTTTAGGTTAATTTTAGACTGGACCAAAAAGGCCACAATCTGGGAGTATTTTTGTGATGTCATACTCCTTACGGGTTATATGGATTTGCATTTTCGATTCATGAGTAGAGACCAGTCAGAGAGTGTGTAAAATTGTAAATTATGTCAATTAAGATTACTATATACTATGCGACTCAGGTTATATGTGGATGTGTTGAAACCTGCTCACCTATGCTTCGATTCTCAAACTTTCCAGAATAAAAGCAGAGTTATGTGTGTTAAATGTAGTCCAACTACCTTGCTCATCTCCTACTGCTTGGCTTATGTCATAGGCGCATATTCTATCAGCCTCCGATCACAGGGCTTCAAATCCAGAATTATATCTTCTTTCTTTTTACACCCTGCTATAAGCAGTTAGCATTTCCCCGATTAAGAACTCGCAATTTGATTCGCTGTCACAACACTGCGACAGCAATCATGTATACGTCATCGGTACATAATTAGATCACGTGACTCAGTTTAATCAGGCGCTTCCAAATTGGTTATAGCAGGGGGGAAGAAGGAGGTACAGATTCTGGACACCTGCTTAGGAGGATGATATTCTATGTATTTCTCAAAATGAAACACTTTCCACATGCTGAATATTAAAAATGTTAATATCACATTGGATGATAAAAACTGCTTTAGTTTACCTGAATCCATGTTAGCATTGAGCTACATTACCTCTGACTTGTGCAAATGTTCTTAACAGTCTTAAATGTTGTGTTTTATTTTGAGTTGAATATTAAATTAATTGTAGCTACTTAGAGAAAGAAAAATGAAGTGTTACATCATAAGAAAGAAAGCTAGAGTTGATACCCTGCTGGACACTTTGCTGATGTTATGTTTTTCCAGGTACGAGAGGCGTTAGCGGCAGAAACTGGGCTGAGTGTGCGTGTTGTGCAAGTCTGGTTCCAGAATCAGAGAGCTAAGGTATGTTTTCATCGACTCCATTTATAAGTTACATGCCTTGTCTCCCATAATGTAATCTGATATCAAAACCTTGTTCATTCTGTAACATAAGCTTGAATCAAGCCCATGTCTCTTACATAACTTAATCTTGCATCAAGCCCTTGTACCCTTTGGAGGAGAGGCACTGACTTGTGAGACTCTCAGTTGTCGACTCTATGTCCAGGTCATATTAAATCTTTCCAAAGTTATTTAACAAAGTATAAGAACTCTTCCCTCTATATTTTGAAACTATTTCAGAAAAGTTTATCAAATCATAGAATCTCAAAATGATTAATAAACAATTACATCAGAATCTCAAATTAGACAATCTTTGAAATTGAAAATTGAATTAGACTGAAAATAAAATTTAATTAATTAAAATTAAAGTTGTTTAAGTTCAAAGTAATAAAAATAGTATCCATATTTCTAGAAAATAAACAATATTGTAAAAATATTAATTAAGTATGTATTTAGAAAAAGGCAAGAAATGATATGAGCCCAAAATATGAAATGATTTTTTTCAAGATGTGAATTCATCTTGTTGTGCATCTTGCTAGATCTGATTCTGCCTTTAATAATATACAGTTCCAAAAGTCATCACTGTTTCAAACACAGACTGCCACAAGATTATATCTTCAGGATGTTGTATATCAGGGATCATTTTCAACATGTGTCTGTCAAATTAAAACTACCATATTGGCAGTTTGTGCAACTATGATAAAGAACTTATGTGACGTGTTATATCTTTAGATATTTCCTATATGAAACAGGTGAATGGTACAATAACGTCATTTCAAAGGGCAATATAGTGAAATATTGGACCGAGGGCCGAAGGCCGCAGAAATGACGTTATTATTAGTATTATTCCCACCGTTAATGCCCAGGGCTGAAATAGCAAGAAAATCCTACGTACTGAACGATATCTAATTTCCCGGGGAAAATTGCCCGGCGTTAATGCATTATTGGCCCGCCACTATGGCCCACTATGACGTCACTATTGCTCAGGTCGATATATTAAAATAAATGCCTTCTAAACTAGCACTAATATCCCTAGAACAGGCCCGGCAAGGTGGTAATAAAGTATCATAACGCAATAGATTTATAATACCAAACTGCAGCAAAACCCATATTTTAAAAGATTAAGAAGTCACTGACATTTGTTTCGTAGTCATAATATTTAAAATATCAGGGTATTAACATTTAAAACATAATGTTTTAAGAGCATTAACACAAGAATTAGGGATAAGCATATAAAATTAACATGTATATACCGGTATGTTAATTCAAAACGAACCCACGAGCACCTGTTTGGCATGGTTTATGAGTGATAATTGTACACAGTATCATAAAACATTGGAACCAGTTGATTGATTGGATACAATGAAAACTAGATGTAAAGATGGAGTCGCAGATACTATAGACAATTATGAGCATAGATAATGTAACAGGTTGTTTTCGTAGTCAATAACTAAAGTTTATTGTATACAGCTTCATTGTGATTTATGTTTTTTAAAGGATTTTAAATGTGTTTAATTTATGCTGGGGCAACAACAACAGCTCTCATGCAAACCTTTTTTACATGCGTTTAACATGATAAAGGAAATATATATGGGTTTGAGCTGTATACGATGACATAAGTCCCAATGCTTTAGTTTTTTTCAAATCTTTAATGTCAAATACTTTTAAATGTTTTTTCTCAAATCTTCAATGTTATACACTTTAAAGGTCTTAAATCAAAGAAACAAATTACTTCAAAACATATAATGATCAATATATAATTTGTTACACTAATAATTTTTCTCACTTTTCGGGGAGCATATGATAAAAGTAACAATTCCTATACACAATAGAAAGAAAGGGAATATACTGTACATGACTGAATGCTTATCATCGCAGATGAAAAGTTGGCAAGACGGTTGCCTAGTTACAGTGGAGATGGTCCAAATAAATATATAATTAATTTTTGCAGGTGAAAAAGTTGGCGAGAAGGCTGCCTAATGATAATGGTGATGGTTCAAACAGAAAAACTGGTCAGAAAAAACGAAAAATCAAAGATGACGATGACCAAGGTTTGTGAAATTTTCCCATTACGATACCTTGCCCTTAATAATACCTGACCAAGTTATGACACTTAACGAATTTGTGGATTTATCAGGCATGAATTATCACGCCGTTATGATCTCCATAATGAAAACAAATGTCATAGAGTATAAATGTTTAATGGTAGAATCTTCTACAGAAGGCCTGAAAAGATATCGAGCAATATTAATAATATACAAAGTCTATATCGGCCAATCAGCTAGGTGTACTTTCTTGTGCATGTGCAGGTGTATGACCATGTAGTAATATCCAGTAGCAGTGCATTAACATAAATTGTTGCACTGTTTTTCTGAGTAATATATTGTAGTAACGAATCAGGCCAGAAGCCAGCTTTTACCAAGGGGAGAGCTTTTGCCAAGGGTGGGGAGCTTTTAACAGTTTTGGCTAACAAATCATGCAAAAAGTGCTCTGAATGGTGAAAAACTGCATGATTTTGAAAGAATTTCTGATTAAAGGGGGGGGGGGAGTGCTGCTCCCTCCACTCCCTCTGGCTATGGGCCTGCTGTATTGTTCTGGAGAATGCAACAACCCATACAGTTGAATTTACTGCACTCATGTTAATTAGAGATAATTGTTGTCTTAGGGATGACACAAAAATATTATGCTTTTCTCCAATATCATTCAATTATCACTTTTTATATTCTTAGTAAAGCCTGGCGAGCTTCCATAATATAACCTTCGACTTGATCCCTCAGTTCAAACAAAACATCATAAATTAATTTAAAGAACATTCTATAATGACATACATTTTTCAACCAGTTTCTAGCGTCCCAAAAGTATGACCCTTCTAGACTTGCATTGTAAATAAATTCTTGAAAATGAGAAATAGAAGGTCAACGTTGCATTATATTCGTTGTTGTTGTTACAGACGGTCAGAGTGTTACAGGGAGCAGTGGATATAGTAGTTTAACTCCACTTGCTGAGAACCACAACAGCCAGTTCACCCCACAACTCAGCCCTTTTGACCAACACCCTTCACACAGTGAGTTATTTTTTATATATATTTATTTTTGTTTCTTATGTTAAAGTAGATTTCTATGAATTAATTACAGTGGACACCCTAATTGAAAGTGCTAGCATCCCTCGGTCTGCATAAGTGCAGTTTGGTGCGCACAAAACTGCAGTAGATTTTATGTGCACCAGAGTGTCTGGTGCACTTTGGTGCAGGTTGGTGTGTCATCCCAATGAAGATTTACATTGAATTAGTGCATTCTGGTGCGTTTCAAATATTCTAATTACACCACTGGTGCAGTTTGGTGCAGATATTCTTGTGCACACTTTCTGCACCAAAAAATTGGTGCATCTAGTGCAATTTAGTGCATATTGGTGCGTTTCAAATATTCTAATTACACCACTGGTGCAGTTTGGTGCAGATATTCTTCTGCACACTTTCTGCACCAGAAACTTGGTGCATTCTGGTGCTTTTCAATTACAATTTTTTTTGTATAATGATCTGACCAGGAAATCGGTTGAATATGACTGAAAATTATTCTTTTGGTGATGACATTAAACAATTTAAAAAGTATATGCCTGTTCCAAAAATCTGAACCACTTACTCCAACTCATCTATACGCAGTATATTAAAATCCATAATTGGGGAAATGCTAACTGCTTATCGAAGAGGGAAAGAGAAAGTAAAGATATTCTGAATTTTGAAGCGAGATCAGGGGATGTCCCTCAAGTGGTATTTGATTTATAAATTTCTGTTATTCCGTCTTGAAGTGTCCATACAAACATTTTAAAAAGTTCATGACTTTTTAGCTGGAGAAAATGGATAACTTTTTGACTGATGACGATGAAACCTGCCCAAATGCACAACTTATACCTAATGGTAAAGTTGACACCAAAATTAACTAAAGTAAAACTGTATTAGTGCTGATGTTTAAGGATTTTGTGAAGACTTACCAAAACCAAGCTAATTAAGCCAGCTTTGGTTGAAAGAGAGGCTGCGTTATATTTTCTGGTGCAGTTAGTTCTAAAAAAATCAAGTGAAAAAATATTAGTGCTAATTAGTGCACTTTGTTACATTCTGGTGAGCACTTATTTTCTGGTGCAGAGCTCTCTAGTGCACCCAGTGCGCACCTAACTGCACTAATGTATACTGAGGGATATCCAATAATTAGCACAATTAGCACTTATGACTTATAAAAACCATCTCACATAAATACTAATAAGTATGGGAACAATGACCGTCGATCCTGTATCTAGTGTTCAAGGATACCCTGTACATACCTTATTTTCGCCAATATTCCCAATCAAATCACATAAGTATTCTCGATCATTATTTCCGAGATGGTTAGATAAAGTGAGACCTACATGTACTGTATTTGAAAGGCTAATTTTGCAAGTTCACCTATTTGATTAAACAAAATGTAATTTGTTAAGATTCCTATCCATCCCTTCATGACCATGATAATTGTTTCTCTGAAAGACTTCAAAAAACTGAAATCAGAATAAATAGATATACTTTTTGACACACATGAGCATATTCCTGGAGCTACATCTGCTTTACACAAGGAACTTAAATGTGAATTGTTGTCATTTTTGTTTCTTAGATTATCCGCCACATATGATGCAGATGGGTGAACCCATGTATGCAGATGACGGCATGCCTATGGAGACATCTATTGAGGGAAATATGGAAGAAATGATGATGTCACAAGGTCAGCCCCCTACATCAACAACAACTAATGGACATATTATACATCCAATAGACAAACTTTATTCAATGCAAAATTCATATTTCAATTCAGAATAAATCCTATAGGATTTGTTTAGCATCGTATCAAACTAGATAGTATTTATAATGCCTACACAGTATAGATCAAACTTTATTCAGCCTATACACTCACGTGACGACCATTCATCAAAATATAGAAGCACTGGAAACCCACAAGATTAGTTAACGATACAGTATGTGAAGCCCACAACACATAAATTATGACACAGTATTTGAAACAACACTATTGATGACAAAATACCTTAAATCCACAACACTAAATTGACGATGTAGTGTACCTGAAATGCAAGACACTCTATTGACAACGCAGTACCTGAAATCTGCAACACTAGATTCACGATACAGTACCTGAAATCCACAAATCGACATATGGTATCTGAAACATCACCAAATTTATGACATGTATCTGGTTTGATATTGTAACGCACGTTCTACAAACACCACAATATTATATCACATGTACGTCCTAGTTAAATTTTGCTACGATCTTGTTTATTTATTATATGCCATTTCTCTCAAATTAAGCAAAGTAACAAAATACTTGATGTTTATCTTGTATTTTATTTGTAATTTGTGTCAACTAAAATTGAAATTTCATTATTTTGGGCATTTGACAAACATAACCGTTGCAATATTTTACTAACTTGTATTCCTAGATGTCACTACATTAAATGAAAATGAAGTGAAAATGCCAAGACTACTAAACTGAACAAACGTAAAATAATTGTATTTTTGGTTTTACTATTTATGAATCTCACAATCAATTCATTGATATTAATTTTGTTTGGAGACCCTCATGTATATTTGAATCTAATATGAGAATTGATATTTGATCAGTGACCCTTTAGGCCTTCAAAGATTTATAGTGTCTCTTCAGTTTATATCAGATATTAAAAACTTTCCACATTCAGAAGGATTTGACCTTTCCATATACTCCAAAATACAATTGTAGCAGAAATGATCCCTGTGTATGGTTTTCCTATATTGAAATTGTAGATAGTTTGTCAATTTTTTGTAGCTAGTACAGTGGCAACATCTATTAAAAACACTTGTCACATTGAAACTAAATTCAGGGAATTGACGTCTATTGTAAATCTTGTACATGAGTGTCAAAATCACAGGTGTCAAGATGCCAACTTCATCAGTGTCAAATTCACTAGTGTCAAGGTCGTATGTGTCAAGTTCACATGTTCCAAGGTCACATTTGTCAAGGTCAAGTGTGTCAAGGTCACATGTGTCAAGGTTGCATATAACGAATCACTTCTAGACATAGACATTTAATTCATTCATTTATGATTGGTTGAATATTCTACAAGTACTCAATGTAACTCCGTGGGATATAACTCCGTAGTGCATTTTCTCAGATTTAGGCTGTACATTGTATCTATCTAATCAGTGTACGTACAATAAGATTGTATATAGCCATTATTCAGAATGTGTTTTTTTCTCATTCTACTAAGTATTTGTTCATCATTCGTAACATAATTTATTTATAAGATGTTTTAAACATATAATTATATACATGTGTTGAAATATTGTCTATTATGTACCATTGTAAATAATACATGTATATGTACCATGTTAAAACATTATATTTACCTTGTGAAAGTATGGTATGAACATTCGAAGATTTCTTAAAAGTAAGACTGAAGTACTAATATGCATGTTTTCAAGTTTTGAGAATTTGAAATGAAACTATAAATCAAATCTGTATTTCCTGGTAAGACATGAGCATAATCTGATGATTAAATGAATGGGGTCACTATTGTGTGGTTAAGATTAATCAGTTGTCATAGAGATTAATCAGTTGTCATAACGACATGCTTCATTTGACATTCATAATTTGGATGTCATGTGAAATCGGTGACACTACATCAGTGACTACCATACATTACCAGTTGCCATGCATGAATAACTTAACATATAATTTATTGGTTGCAATGAGAGACTACCATATCCCTACATTATCCAGTGTCACGCATGAGTGACAACCATAATACATTATTGGTTGCCATGCATGAGTAACTTAAATACATTATTGGTTGCCATGCATGAGTAACTTAAATACATTAATGGTTGCCATGTATGAGACTACCATACATTATTGGTTGACCTGGATGAGATAACATTGCATTATTGGTTGCCTTGCATGAATGACTATAATATATTATTGGTTGCCATGCATGAGCGTAACATACATTATTGGTTGCCATGTATGAGCATACCATATATTATTGGTTGCCAGGCATAAGAGACTACCATACATTATTGGTTGTCATGCATAAGAGATTACCATACATTATTGGTTGCCATGTATGTGACCATACATTATTGGTTGCCATGTATGAGACTACCATACATTATTTGTTGCCATGCATAAGAAAGTACCATACATTATCAGTTGCCATGCATGAGTTAGTACAATATATTATTGGTTGCCATCCATGAGTGACTACCATATAATATCGGTGGCCTCACATCATGCTTCATGATTGGTTGATAATTTTGTCATGTGACCGGACATTATCTGTTGCCATGAGTGACTATGATATGTTATTGGTTGCCATGCATGACTCTTCATTCAAGATTGGTTGAAAATTTGGTTATGTGAAAGACCTGAATAAATAGTGTCAAAATATAGTCATAAAATAGGTTTGGAGAGACCTTCTTTAGACCGATGGACAAACAGGGTAGAGGTTAAATGAATGAGAAATACGCCTCAACAAAATGGATCAAAGTTTAAATGAATACTAACATTGCCACATTGACACCATGGTTTAAACATTAATATGGATTACGAATACATGTTAGGTATATTCCATGGTGTCCTATTTACTAACAATATTGCCACATATATAAGCAACTTGTCATATGATTGTCACCATATTTATCATCATCATTATTTGTTTTATTATTTATATTGTATTTGCAAATTAGTATAGATTCCTATGAGAAGGAATTCTATCTGTGCATTCCATAATATTTCTGAATATTAATTTTACAAAATACGCAACTACCTACCATATATACATGTATGTAGTGTTTTGGAAATTCATATTATCGGGTTGTGAAATTTTACTGAGATTTTTTAACATTCCATGGAAATAATATCTCATTATTGTGTAGTATAATCAGGACTTCAATGCCACTGTGGAATTACAGGGTAAGTCAAAAAAGGTAACCCAAACAAATCATCCGGTATGGGTTGTAAGTTATATTTGGTACAATTGAACCTTGTTCGATGTTATTTCATTCCACCAAGTTTGACTGAGTTATTGGGATTTGTTTGGGTTACCTTTTTTGGCTCAGCCTGTAATATGCATTGAACAGTTTTTCTGAATAAGATGTTTATTAAGGATTTCTACAACTACACATCCATTCCATTCAAATACTGAACTATGCCAGTAAATGATTGTTGATTATGATTATGTTATAAGTAATTTTATTTTATAAGATATATTCAGAACAAATTTTCAGAGATTTTACCATGTTTTTAATCAAAGCATTATATGAGCAAAGTATCTGATTGCAGCATGTTTAAGTAAACACAGCAATGTCTTGTAAAAGTTCAAAGTTTCACTCAGCAATCACATTTTAATACTACATTACATGTTATAGTGTATACCCTTGGGTTTTTCTTTATGTTTTAATTAAATTTATATTATTTAATTTTTTCCAACTTGTATTATATTTGGAGGTGACCATACATAGAAATCTTTCTCCAAAATTGAGAAGAATGTAAATGAAAATGTCTTGCCATTTTTATGGAATAAATTTATAAAATACATATCCTTGTGTATTTATGTAACAGGTAAATGAAGAACATGTAAAAGTATGAAGCAAGTAAATGAATTACATGATACAGTTAATGAATTACATGGTTTAATTATGAAGCTAGAAAATGAATTACATTTCAATAAAGATGTATGTTTGAAGTAAGTAATTGAATGAATTACATATTATTTTGGTAGATGTATTTAATTTAACACATTCATATCATTATTAGTGTAAAAGATATGGACATTTTCATTTTATGGACATTTTCATTTTATGGACATTTTCATTTAATCTTTAGAAATTCAGATTTTTATAATATCCATGAATTTTCTATTTGTTTGAAATGTCACATGTTTCTTACCATTAAACTGTAATGTACAGCTTCTTCATATTTAAGTTCATATTTTAAAGAGGCCGTTATAAGTGTCGAGTGTTGTGAGATGGTGATAATAAAATGTAATTTTATTGAAGCAAAATGACGTTGTTATTTGTTTTATAAATTATTATGCCCTTCCAATGGACTATGACTCTTTTTGAAGGTATATATATATATTTATCCCATACTTGGACGTGTTACAGGTACATAAAGCCGGTTTGTAAAAACTTATATTTTCATCAGCGGGCAGATATAGCTTTACGTCCCGCTCCGAGCGGGCAGAATAGTATATCTGCCCGCTACGTCATAATCGCTGTTCCCATATTGGTTCGTTTTTGTAACGTTCGCATACTGTAAACGACAATGGAGAAAAACGTAGACAAATATCGCGATCTGTTTGATGCTTTAAAGAAGGGAAGGAGCTGTATGCCCCGTTAATATCAAAAATCCGGACAAGAATACAAAACTGGACATGAATATTTTAAAATAATTCCACTGTTGGTTGCAAAGTTTCTGAACTGTGGCCAATTGGAAAATGTGATTGGTATGGGATAAACAGATCATCCTATAGTCGGTTCAGGATATTTTGATTATCCCTTGGCCAATACAATATATCTACCCTCGGGACCTACGGCCCTCGGGCAGATATATTATATTGGCCTCGGGATAATCCCAATATCCCGAACCTCATATAGGATAATCTCTATTTATCCGATGGATACTAAATATATATGGGGATAATGACACAAGATAATTTTGGTATGGGCCACGGATTCTATTTTAAAAATATCTTGAAAAAAAATTTAAAAATAGTTTTGAAAATTAATTCTGAAAAAATTTGAAAAAAAAATTGAAAAAGAAATTGTGATAACCACTTGTCTGTTTGACAATATAGTTCCAAGGTTATGTGCTCAGTAATATTGAGTTGCATTTTTTCGTGTAATCATTTTGTAAAGACAATGGCGTATAAAATGAAAAAATTAGAAAAGAATTAGAAAACAACAACTTTTAGGTCAAATTATCCATTCAAAAATAGCAACCATAGGATAAATATGATATCCTATGATTTTCTCGGCTACCATTTTTATCCACTCTTGAATATCGCCGATCTCCACTCATTCGCTGCGCTCACCCGTAAAGATGGGCGATATCCACTCATGGATAAAAATGGTATCCCTCATAAATCATATGATATCCTCTATATATCTTTTATTGACTCAAACAGAACAACGGCAACGCCAAAGCGTAGCGAATCCCATCGAACAGAAATGGCTGGCATTTTTACAAACAAAATATATAGCAAATATCATAAAATAACACGCATTAGAGAGGCCATCATTTTTAAAATGGTTGCTCACTAGCCAAGTTGTCATCAGAAGAAGTAATATGCTTTGAAGTAGCCACATATAAGATTTTTAAAAAATCGCACACACATACATGTAAATGCTGGCCATTTTTTAAAATAGCCGCCTACTACCCAAAATGTCATAAGACAGTATGCAATCCTTACGAGTATTCACCTATCAAATATGAACAAAATCGCTCTATTACTTTTTGA